ATTAACTAACCATGAACAATACATTTGTTACTGTTTTTGTTCATCTTTGTTAACGTTAGTTAATACAAATCCAGCTGTTCATTGTTAGTTCATGTTAGTTCACAGTGCATTAACTAATGTTAACAAGATTTAAATAAAGTATTTGTAAATGTTGAAATTAACATTAACAAAGATTAACAAATGCTGAAGGAGTATTGTTCATTCTTAGTTAATGTTAACTACATTAGTTAGCATTAACTAAGAATGAACAATACTCCTTCAGCATTTGTATAATACTGCTGCTCCATCTATTGGACAACAGTGGTATTACAGACTATAAACAGTTGTATAAATAAAAACTTTCGTTTTCAGCCTTCCTGTGACACAATTGTAAAGAGTAATAAATAAAATAAATAAATGCAGTCCATAATACTCCAATAGATGCATTTTTACAAAATGTGATAGTAAATGTTAAAATAATGATTTTAGAAAGTCTAAATATGAACTATAACAATATTAGGGAGTAGTATGATGAAAATGACAGCAGGGGGCAGTAAAATATCACTTTGTTAGCCATGCTTGACCTTTTTTTAAGAAGCTATGAGCATTCATTGAAAAGATATTGGCTTTCGGTCAAGGCTACATATTGAAGTGACCCTATTTTAGTCATCCAAATGTTATACATTACAAGTTATACATTTTCTGATAATTATTGTTCTAGAGAGTACAGAGCAATAGATGAATTTGGACAAAATGTGATTGTAAATGTTAAAATAATGATTTAATAAAGTCTAAATTTCAATTATATATAACAATTTTAGGGAGTAGTATGATGAAATGACAGCAGGGGGCAGTAAAATACCACTTATTGGCTGTTATAGCCATCCAAAATGTTATAGCCATCCAATTTACACTATTACAGCCATTCAAATGAAGAAATTACACCTTTTCTGATAATTATTGATCTAGAGAGTCCAGATAATTGTACTGCACTGGTTTTAAACATTAAGATATGGAAATTTTACGATCATAGATGGAAAAGACCATTTACAGCCAATAGAGGCAATTTACCATAGGAAATATATGGTTTTAAAGCTTTTTAACAGTTATAGCGCCACCTATGGTCCGATCTCCATGAAACTTTGCATGCTTCCTCAACATGGTATGACACATATGCTCATCAATTTTTGTCAAGTTCTGAGTTTTCATTTATGATTTATAGGCTTTTGAGTGTATTTTGACACGCCCCTTTTCTAAATGACCCTGTTACAGTGAACCAAAGGGCAAAGTTAAACTTTTTTTTGATAATTATTGATCTAGAGAGTCCAGAGAATTGTCCTAGACTGGTCTGGTTTTGATCGGGCGAAAAACCAGGGACTAGTTCGCAAAAGTAGGTTTTTAACATATTCGTGAATATTTAATGAACGATTTGATTGACAGCAATGGTTCTAGAGGCAAAGTTGTTAACCATGAGGATATCTATAAAATGATATGCATTTTGGGGGGATGTGTGCAACACCACGTGATTACAGAGCCGTAAAACTCGTTAGCGCCAACTAGTGGCCGATTTCTTTCAAAACTCTTACAGACCTCTTAGGCCATGAGTCGAACATGCCCATCGAGTTTCGTTCCGATTGGCCTCCGTTAACCTCGTCTCATAGGGGCTCCAACTTCATTGGTCAATGGCGGCCATGTTTTTTGAGATACGCCAATGTCCTCATAGACATACATGGGGCCTTGGACCAAGACACTGCATACCAATTTTCAAGTCAATCGGACTAACGGTCAGTCCTTTATATGTTTTTTTCATGTTATAGCGCCACCTAGTGTTCGATCGTCGCGATTTTTTTACTGTGACCTCAGATTGAACTCATGCACAACTGTACCAAGTTTGGTGAACCTACCTAATTTACTTCTGGAGTTATAGTCGTTTTCGTAAAATAGGCTCCTCCCACAACGTTCTTTTTGCGCCCCCTAGCGACCGGAAATCGAAATTTCAACTTTTTTACGATTATAATTTATATTCAAACTCCACAGAACATTTGTGCACTGGTTTGGTTCCGATCGGGCAAAAAATCAGGGACTAGTTCGCAAAAGTCGTTTTTTGACAAAATTCAAAATGGCGGAAAATCTATCATGACGGAAATGAAATCGGAGATATACGTTTTTTAAGTCAGGAGTCCAGCTTTCCAATGATATAAGACACTTGAGTCTACGATTTACGGTCTAGGAGTTATGAGCAGTTTTGCGCAATTGGTTGCTATAGCGCCACCTATGGGCCAATCGGGCTCATAATTTGATAAGCTCTCCTCGATTTTTGTACTACCATCTGACAAAGTTTCAAGTCTCTAGCACTTACGGTTTGGTCTGCACGATGCGTTTTACGGCAGAAGAATAATAATAATAACTAGCAGCATTTAGCGGTGTTCAAGCAGTTAAGGCCTTTAAGGCCGTTAAGCATAAAAGCATCAAAAGACTTTAAGTTTTATTTAGCATACATTTAACCACTGACATAATTGATGGAAAAGACCATTTACAGCCAAAACAGGCAATTTACCATAGGAAATATATGGTTTTAAAGCTTTTTAACAGTTATAGCGCCACCTATGGTCCGATCTCCATAAAATTTTGCATGCTTGTTAATGATGGTATGTCACATATGCTCACCAATTATTGTGAAGTTCTGAGTTTTTATTTAGGATTTATAGGCTTTTGAGTGTATTTTGCCACGCCCATTTTCTAAATGACCCTGTTATAGCAAACCAAAGGGAAAAGTTCAACTTTTTTTCAATAATTATTGATCTAGAGAGTCCAGAGAATTGTCCTAGACTGGTTTGGTTTTGATCGGGCGAAAAACCAGGGACTAGTTCGCAAAAGTAGGTTTTTAACATATTCGTGAATATTTAATGAACGATTTGATTGACAGCAATGGTTCTAGAGGCAAAGTTGTTCACAATGAGGAGATCTATCAAATGATATGCATTTTGGGGGGATGTGTGCAACACCACGTGATTACAGAGCCGTAAAACTCGTTAGCGCCAACTAGTGGCCGATTTCTTTCAAAACTCTTACAGACCTCTTGGGCCATGAGTCGAACATGCCCATCGAGTTTCGTTACAATTGGCCTCCGTTAACCTCATCTCAACTTCATTGGTCGATGGCGGCCATGTTTTTTGAGATACGCCAATGTCCTCTTACACATACATGGGGCCTTGGACCAAGACACTGCATACCAATTTTCAGGTCAATCGGACTAACGGTCAGCCCTTTATATGTTTTTTTCATGTTATAGCGCCACCTAGTGTTCGATCGTTGCGATTTTTTTACTGTGACCTCAGATTGAACTCATTCACATGTGTACCAAGTTTGGTGAAGCTATCTCATTTCCTTATCGAGTTATAGCCATTTTAGTAAAATAGGCTCCTCCCACAATGTTCATTTTGCGCCCCCTAGCGACCGAAAATCGAAATTTCAACTTTTTTTCAATAATTATTAACATTCAGACTCCAAAGAACATTTCTGCACTGGTTTGGTTCCGATCGGACAAAAAACCAGGGACTAGTTCGCAAAAGTAGTTTTTTGACAAAATTCAAAATGGCGGAAAATCTATATTGGCGGAAATTAAATCGGAGATATACGTTTTTTTCGTCAGGTGACCAGCTTTCCAGTGATATAAGACACTTGAGTCTACGACTTACGGTCTAGGAGTTATGAGCAGTTTTGTGCAATTGGTTGCTATAGCGCCACCTATGGGCCAATCGGGCTCATAATTTGATAACCTCTCCTCGATTTTTGTACTACCTACTGGCCAAGTTTCAAGTCTCTAGCACTTACGGTTTGGGCTGCACGATGCGTTTTACGGCGGAAGAAAAATAATAATAATAATAATAATAATAAAAATCAGTACAAATACAATAGGTTTTCAGCACTTCGTGCTTGAACACCTAATAATAAAAATCCTTACAATTACAATAGGTTTTCAGCACTTCGTGCTTGAACACCTAATAATAATGTATTATTTACATTACATTAAGTATATATCATGGTAATATTTGTTGGACTCTGTGCGTTCACACCCTCACCGGCGAGAGCGGCGAAATTCGCTCTCGCCGCCCTGCCAACAACAACGTAGAAAGATTCGTGGACGCTCTGATGCTCTGATGTAGATCGAATGCTTGGTCTTTTTTAAAAACTGTATTTAAAGGGGCCGCAAAGAAAACAAGCATGTCGATCGTTATTTGTGCAGACTGACCAAGTAGGGTATAAGTTAACCTCATGGAATCTTTTAAATGTGAAAGTAAGAAATTGATCGATGGAAAGAACTTAAAGGGATACTCCACCCAAAAATGAAAATTCTGTCATCATTTACTCACCCTCAAGTTGTTGCAAACCTGTATGAGTTTCTTTCTTCTGCTGAACACAAAGGAAGATATTTTGAAGAACGATTGGAACCAAACAGTTGTTTGGCACCATTGACTTCCATAGTAGAAAAAAAAAAAATACTATGGAAGTCAATGGTGCCAAAGTTCCAATCGTTCTTCAAAATATCTTCCTTTGTGTTCGTCAGAAGAAAGTAGCTCTGTCATGTATTTATTATTCATAAAAAAATTTTTTTTTGTTTTAAATAAAAAAATTGGTGATTGTTAAGAATGTAATGTCACAATGCAAATATATTGTTCATATATACATAAAGCCACTGATTTTTTTCTTTGGGGTGAAATGTGACCAATGGCGTATTTTGTTTCACCCATCCAGTTTGGCACTCCAGAGTTTTGGGTTGTTAGTTTTGTTCCATACACTTGACAGCTCACACACTGTCAACCTTCCCATACCATCCTCTGATGGGAACCACAATTCTAAGTTTAGCTGCCCTTTCAGCTTGGGATCATACAGGCAGCCAATCAGATTGCTCTGAGCTCTCGTCATTTGTGCAGTGAAAACACAGGCCTTTAAGACTGCATAACTGGCACAAAGACTAGAGAACACAGGGCCTCATGACAGTCCATTCTGTGCGAGTGTACCTCTCAGAAGTGGGAGGGCACAGTCCTGCAGCTCCATAACAACACCCTCCAACACAGGCAACATGGGAGTAATGTCCAACAGAACCAAAACCAGGGGCTGAAAGAGAGAGGGAAAGTGAACGTTAGTGCATTACTTGCACAACTGTCACAATATAGTTTTGACCTGCACCTAAGTATTAATCACATCAGACATGGACTGTCAAAGACATATATGGTGCCTATTCCTGGAATTAGTCAAACAGCATGAATGATATACAACATCCTTTAATTGGATGTGACGGGACATTACATAAGCCAAATCCTGCCTTTACCTGATCTTTACCGAAGACATCTCCCTTTGCGATTCCGTACAGCAGAGAGTATGCGATCTGCCCTGCGGCGCCGGTAACCAGGACTCTAATAGGCTCAGCCTACAGCGAAACAAGAGAGATAGAATTATAAACAATAGATGTCATGTAAGGTAGCAAAGAAAATAACTGATCTTAATCAACCACTCAGGACAGAGAAGCTCAGGAGGCTCACCACGAACATAAATAGTCCTGGCAAACTCTGCCAGAATGAAGTGCTGAGTGGGATATTTTTAAACTGGGAGACATTTATACATTTCTTCAAATAATTCCCTTTCACTATATGGCAATTCTGCAGAAACCTTCATTTGTAGCAAATTAATGTATTTGCATTATATTCAGAATCACTAATCTATGACTTATAGCAATACACCTCAAAATGCCTTTAACTGTTCGATAAAAGGAATATCACATGTGCAAACAAAAGTTCTTGAGTGTTATATTCTAACAAGTGTAATCAACATTATGCAATTCTTGGTTCCCTAACAGTAGCCTACATGATACATCTGATCTAACAGATAACTGCAAAAGTTTAGGTTCTGCTATAATTCTTAAAGTAGGATAAAACTGTCACTTTCCGCTAACGTGATCATATATTGACAGTAAAATACACACTTTCATATATATTTGGAATAATCTTTTGTCTTACCATTTTCAGCTGGTTTAGAAATGACAGAGGCTTTTCCACTACTCCGGTGATTGCGGAGGTCACCCCTATTTCTCTCACGAGGCAACAAGTTGTCGCTGCACCTGCGTTTCAATTGTCTACTGGGAAATGTAGTTTTTAGTGGCCGTCCAGCCGTTCATTTTGTTGAAATAAAGACTACAGTGCCTATAAAATACTTATGGTAAGGGACCCCTCTTTCACTAGTCGGACATACGACTTATCACAGCGAATCGGTTCTTTTAAACAGTTCGTTTCAAAGCACCAATACAAAAACCCTGTTTGTTTGCAGTCATTATTCAGGTCATAAAATAGTCGTTTAACATTTATGTTAGAACTTAGAATAATATTTTTTATTAATTAAAAAAAAGATTAGATCTTTAGAATAATCAAATAGCAGAAATGCTATACAACATACTGATTTAATAATAAATAATAAACAGTGCTTTACTTATTCAATTAGTACGTGCACAAATAAAATACTATCCATCATACATATTTTCAGTAGGCCTGGCTGTGTATATAGCATTTCTGCTATTTGATTATTTAAAAAATTGTCAAAGTTCAAAGAGCTGCTCGGACCGATTTAGTTCGATTCATAAACAAATCGACTGAAACATTAAAAAGGACCCGACTCTCAAGAACAATTCGTTGTGGTATAACGTAGTAAGATTATTGTATGTGAAAAACATTACGTGCTCATAAATAACATATAATAAAGCCGTTTATGCGAAAGTAAGGTGCTAATGGTTTAATATTTAAATATGTGTGTAAGTGTATAATTGGACAATAAAGCAGTTATGAAAAATAACCAAAACATTCCTCGAAAAAACTACTTAGGCCTATTATTTAAAGAATCTCTCGGGTTTGTTTGTAAATGGTAGGCCTGCTGCCTACTACAAAAATATCAATTAATCCTGATCCTGACTGCTGGAACAACCCGGAAGATGTTAAAGTTTACCGTAGTGTTTAGGAAAACAACGCGAGGGAAAAGTAAACAGTGATGGAGAGTTTACAGTTGCGTCCGTTGCTTAGACACTGTTGAAATCATGAACATGTCAATGGTTGGCAACAGCTAACATACTCTAGTCTAAAATATCGTGTGAAAATGTTTAAAAGTTCCACAAGTGAAGGAGATCGCCTTTAACGGCAACAGTTTAATTTTTTTTTACCAACGTTTCTCCTGAAGGTTTGCAGTCGTCTGGCAACAAACACACACGGCGACTTTGGCATCAATTCAATCAAGTGGAGATCAACAGATTATTTGTGAACTAATCGGTAAGTCTATGAATGAGTCAGAGCAGCCTGTGCACTGGAGTATTTTAAGTGGTGAATCATACATGTGTATGGTAAATTGATTTAGTAGAAGCTGTTGTACGCACAGTGTTAAACAACGAGTGTGTAGTTTTTTCTCGTCTCACCCGAAAAATTGAAATTTGCAGCAGTCAGATATGTCGGAATTCGGCGGACTAACTTACCACCACTTCGGACTGGACCGGTTCTGCTGAACGGTCAAGGTTCACTGCTGTCGGCAGTCTCGCCACTGATTTCTTTGCTGGCTTTTGGTTTTGTTGAGAGTGTGGAAAATATTATTAGTGGACATGTGGTAGGCTATCTAATTTATAAATTGGAATATAGACTGTTATTAATCTAGTAGGTAACAGATATAGCCTATACCAGTAATTATCTGATAGGCTAAGGAATGTCAGAAACTATCAAAACTAGGTTATTATAGCCTATCTTGTATCCCTTACAAACTTATGGATATAACGTTACCCCAAACCTGTTTTGGGATGCAGGAGTTAGTTATTAAACCGTAGGCTATTTCCCCATTCTGAAAAAATAATTTCAGTTAGTAAGGAGGAGGCTAGTAATTGTCAAATAGTTTCTTCTAACTGTTGTACAAACAAAAATAATTTTTTCAACTGATCTGTTATCTTTATTCTGTCTGAAAATACAGCAGAGAGCAGCCATGTCATCACACACCCTGTATACCTTTATGATAGATGGCCTTCGCTCCCTCCTACTGTACATTGAGAGGTTGATATAGGGCCTCTGTATCAGTTTAGTGCTGTGAGGACCCTTGCTCTGGGTGAGATAGATGATCTCCCTGCTGCATTTTACATGAACTCATTACAGGCTCATTACAAACTGCCTGACAAAGGAGCTGAGGATAATGTTGCTTTTTCATGTGATGTGCACGAACAGAACAACACCAAACACTCTTCTCCACAACACAGTTTATGAAGTGCTGCCGGATCACTGGAAATAGTTTTATGCATTTAATTGTAGGCCTATTTGGAATAGAGTATTATTGAGAATATTTTATAGAAGACATTTTTTAAAACATCTAAGCCTGCCTACCTTCTTGTCTTTCTTTTGTTTCTCTTTCTTTCTCTCTCCCTCAGGCTGTTTCATTCCTGTTGTTGTGTTTTGTGGTGTTTATAACACCTTCAGTTTTCTGTAAAAGGTCAAGTGTCATATGCCTTTACAATATATATAATGCATATTTTGTTATAAAGAAATACATTATTTTTGTCAGATACTACAGTAAGAAAGTTTTAATTTAACTTATAAAAATTTGAATTATGCTTATGTGATAGAGAGATTGTACTGATGCAGAATAAAATGTAACGATTAGTTAATATTTATTAACTATATCAGAAAATATCAGATCACTTTGGAAAACATAGGCCTATTAACCTTTAAATCACATAACCTTTGCTTTTAACCATGACAGGATTGTCACACTAGCAAAGGCAGTTTTGAAATATTTTAGTAGCGCAGTATCAGATTGCACCCTGTGAAAACTGAAATTCTAGAATAATCCAGACCTGCTTCAACAAGCCCCCCATTTTTAAGACCTTAATCTGTGCTAGATGTTAGTCAAGTCTCTCCATGTCAAACTATTGAAAATTAAATTTCATTCAAATTAAATCATTAACAGATTGACTGCATCCGAAAATGGCAGGGTCCGGATTTTTATTAGCATGAAGCACTAATTATTATCAAGCATTTGTGAGATGCTCTTTTTATTAATTTTTCAACCATTAAGACTTACTGAGCTGAAAGTTTTTCTGTACTCTTTAAATAAATAATAAGTTGACTGATTTCAGGCTTCTGTTTGTGGATTATAAAGTCATATCTCAGCTGTCATGTTTCAGATGCTGTCCCTGATTCAGTGCACCTATCAACTCACGCTCTAGCGACTTTAGCTGGTGTCTGCCTCTTTTTTTTCACAGATTTTGTGGATTTTGCATTGCTTGTGTCATGTCAGTAGGAATGTTTGTTATTGTGTATAATGCTCACGCTGTACCTGGTGAAATGAATAGGATATTCATGGTCTGTGCATATAGAGAGAAAATCAAAACAATACCTGCATGGTATCCGAGAACATCTGCACTCTTTGACCTCATCAAACCATACCTATAAAGAGGTGTACTGTGGGATGTGTTATCACTTCAGTGATTCAGTGAGTTATAAGGTGAAAGAGGAAAAATATTGGGGGTTTGGGTGAGAGAGTGTGAAAATGGAAGAGTTTTTGACCTCTTAAACTTTCTTAATGTGACCTGAGGTCAGACCAACATAGCTTTTTGGACAGTGAAGGAAGATATATTTGACTATTTTTTAGTTTTTGAGGCAGTATGTTTATTTATACTATCCATGTGTCAGAAATTAACTGAATAATATGAAATATATATAAGAAATTAATTACACTTCCATGTAAGACTTTTTCCTGAAATAAATAAATACTTTTATTCAGCAAGGCATTAGATCAATTTCAAATAAATGCTGATCTTTTTAACTTTGTATTCATTAAAGAATCCTGAAAAAAGTATCACTGTTTCTGCAAAAATAAAAGCAACACAGCTGTTTTTAACATTGATAATAATAAGAAAAGTTTCTTGAGCAGCAAATTTGCATATTAGAATGATTTCTGAAGGATCATGGGTAACACTTTATAATAAGATTTCGTTAGTTAACATTATTAACTAAGAATGAACAATACTTCTGCAATATTTAGTCTTAGTTTGTTAATTTGAACATTTACATTGTTATAATCAAAAGTTGTATTTGTTAACATTAGTTAATGCACTGTGAACTAACATGAACAAAAAATGAATGACAGTTTTTTTTTTAACTAATAGTCTCAAAGATGAATAAATTCTGTATCAAATGTATTGCTTATTGTTAGTTCATGTTAGTTAATACATTAACTAATGTTAACAAATGAGACCTTATTATAAAGAGTTACCGGATCATGTGACACTGAAGACTGGAGTAATGTTGCTGAAAATTCGGCTTTACTATCAGGTAAATAAATTGCAATTTAAAATAGATTCAAATAGAAAATACTTATTTTAAATTATAAAAATATTTCACAATATACCGTTTTTACTGTATTTTTGATCAAGTAAATGCAGCCTTGGTGAGCATAAGACTTCTTTTAAAAACATTGATCTCAAACGTTTATTGTATACATAAAATATGAAAGAAAAATATGGAACATTTTTTGACCACATATTATTAATATCTGGGGCTTTTTTTCAATTTCAGTGGCATTTTTACTCCATACAGTTGATTTCAGAAGTGTCATGACATGTTCAACTGTATGGTTGTATCATTGCTCCATAGACGTTGGTTCCTTTTTGTTTGTTTGTCTTTTTAACTGAAACCATCAGCATTCACCCATGGTACAAATGACAGAATTGGCACTATGAAAGTGCCAAGTATTATGTGTACATGGACGTTTTGTAATCCATGTTGATTGGATTAAGATTCACATACCCTTATTTTGTGATTCTAAATATTTTTCTGTATTACAATGAACTGCTTTATTCAAAGGCAGTTGTATCTGTTGGTGATCTGGGACTGTCTGTCAGTGACTCGCCAAAATCCCTAACCAGACAACTGTTATCTCTTTTCCATTATCTTTTAGCAAAAACCATCTTGATAATGTGCTGTCTCTCAATGGGGTTACTGAAAACTGTGATGTCCATCATTGAACTTATTTCTTAGAATGATCTTAGATCATTTTTCTAGTGTCCGAAGTTTGAACTGGAGTTCAGCCTTGTGAACAATAGGTGTCAGGGTAGCACTAGTTTTGTAGTGTAATTCCTATAACAAACATAAATGCAACAAAATAATAAACAAGAATCACCTTTGAGTTTGAACTTTTATATTCCACAAATCACAGAATGGTTCTATTTTAATTGTGCTCATTTATAACCTGCACTTGTTTGGAGTTTTGAAGGCACTACATTTATTTCCAGCCCCTTGAAAACCTGACTGGAAGTAATTGAGCGAGTGTTTAGTTTCTCCTCCTTTAGGGGTTTTTAAGACAGCCGCATTTCAGGTTGTCACATTGTTTCACAAATGTACAGCTTGGTTCTCCTGGCTGGTGATCATTCTAAGTGCTCTTTGATTTAGCTTCAAACAACAAAGCCCTCCGGAGTATTTACTCAAGAATGCTTTTTCAACCCGAGACTTCCCCATGCCTGTCAACTACACACTCTGTCAGCCTTAAAATTTCCCATGCCTGGCACACACACACACACACACACACAATCTGATCAAAGTGAAAGCACACACTTCACCTGCTTATAAAGCTGTCCCGCCCTTCACCTGTCAATCACCCTGTCTATCCTCTTCTGTGTCTGCTAAACATGCCATGAAATCCGCTGAGATATTGGTGTCAACTTAATTTGACTGACTGTATAATGTGCCTTTTCCTTAGCATAAGGGTACATATTACTTTTTACACAACAATAACAAAAAATAAAATGAGATAAAGTACAAAAAAATATATTTTAAAATGTTATATATGATATTTTGTTATATTATTAATTGTTATTGTGTGTGTATTGGTTCATGTTAAAAAGCAGGCTTTAGATCAGTTTTGCCGTAGATGGTGGTGAATCTCCTAGATTGTAGTTCTCTCTGCGTGACAGTGGAGTGTGCTGATGGGCCACACATAACCATATAACCCACTGCAACGTTGCATTGTGTTTGGTCTCTGGTCTTTTTTGTTATTTTGTTGCTTGCTTCAACAGTGCTCTTCTTAGAGTCCTACACATCCACTGCACTCATCTAAAGGAGTGAATCATTGCCTTGGGGATCAGAGGCTGGTGCTGTTCAAGTCGCCCTTTGTGTTCAGTTGTAGCTGTCCAGCAATCAAAACATGTTGCATTAATTCAAATCCCTTAAACTGGACAGGCAATCCTGGCCTTCACACTCTCTTGCACAATGGTGAGAAATGGAGAAACAGAGACAGTGAG